GCTTACTCAATACAGAATGGGATGTTATTCTTATGAATGTTTACAGTTTTCAACTTTACCAACAAAAAGGAAATTCTGAGACTACAGACAAGATTTGCTATGTCTGAATCAGAAATAATCATGTCTACCTCTTAGAATGAGGATGAAATAGTTAACACATCAAAGGGTACTCAGTAATTGTGGAATGATAAGAGAGAGGCTATCGAGGTAAGATGAGCACTGGGAATTTATCCTGAGGGGAAAAGAAAACCCACTTGAGAGTTTCCCTGCAGGGAGTACCAAGATTGGATATGCATTCTAGAAAGATCTTTCTGGAGAGAGAAAAAATTAGAAACCCTTGTTTAAGAAGCAAGGAGACCAGATGGGAGCCTGAGATGCCTGAACCAGGGTAGTGGCAGTGGACTGAACTGAAGGGCCTGGGAGGCAGAATCCATAAGTCAAGTGCCAGAGTCATGAAGACTGCTACCAAACACACCAGTTCTCTCTCCTTCCTGGCACACACACTGCCCCTTTGAAGTTAGCTGTGGCCATGTAACTTGTTCAGGCCAGTAAAAAGTGAGATTACTTCTAGGTGAAAGCTTTAAAAACCAGTGCGCAATTCACCATGTCACATAAACCAAGTGAAAAATGGTGGCTCTGTCATCCTGGATCCCAAAGTAAAAATGACATAAAGCAGAGACTCCCCATCCCTTCCCCAAACCAAGTTGAACCTGGACCTGTGTCAAGTAAGTAAACAAACCTTTGATTTTTTTTTTATACTTAAAGAACATATATTTATGAGAAGTCATGGGAAAAATATGGCATCATATGCAATATAGAGTCTATTTAATCAAAAAAAATTTTTTAATTGTATTATAAATGCTGAAAGCATATATTATAGTTCCCCAAATCATAAAAGCTGAATTCAAAATATAAATTAAATTTATCTCTTTTCATCATAAACAATAATTCAAGCTGCATTTTTTACAAACCTTTGCTTTTTAATCCACTGAGGTTTGGGGGTTGTTACTGTAGCATAACTTAGCCTATCCTGACTGAAGCAGTAAGAAACAGTCATCCTAGATACATGCCCAGATAAGAACAGTACCTAGAAATACACACAGACTGCACATCTAGAAATCTGTCTTAATGTACAATAATACCTACAGATATAAGATTACATCAAAAACACTGGTCGGGGGGGGGAGGGGTTAACTATTTCCCAACAGAAACAATGAGTGCATTTTTAAAAGTGGAAAAAATTTAAATATATCCTTTGGAAATTATATTTCTTATAATCTAAGAATTGACACAATGAAGTGTTATGTACTTATTTTCCATTTCAAGCTTTTCAAAAGTGGAGTGTCAGTTTGCTTATCCCTTTCTAGCACACATGGGAGAAGGAAAGAAATAAAGTTAAGAATATATAGGAAGCAAGGGAGAGCACCTTTCCTTCTTCCATACATTCACCTTTTACAATTAGCTCCTGCCTCTAAAATATAAAAACCACTACACCTCCACCACTAAGAATAATAATTGCTAAAAATTTTTGAGAATTGAGTATGTGCCAGGCAAATACTCAATGCCTTCACTGCATTAGCTTATTTAAGCCTCATAACTCAGCACAGACTAATCAAGGACTATTTCCAAAGCCTGTGCCCCTCATGACCACTATACTTCACTTCCTCTTTGAAGTAGGCCCAGATAAATTTCTTTAATCATGGGCATTGATTAAAGATCAATCAATCGTGGACACTGAAGATGAGTTTTAACTGAAATAGCAGGGAAAAGGGATAATTTAAAAGATAGGTAGGGGGCTTCCCTGGTGGCGCAGTGGTTGGGAGTCTGCCTGCCGATGCGGGGGACGCGGGTTTGTACCCCGGTCCGGCAGGATCCCACAGGCCATGCCGTGGAGCGGCTGGGCCCGTGGGCCATGGCCGCTGGGCCTGCGCGTCCGGAGCCTATGCCCCGTGGCGGGGGAGGCCGCGGCAGTGAGAGGCCCGCGTACCACAAAAAAAAAAAAAAAATAGGTAGGGAAGAAGAAAACAAAAGAAATATGCCTGGAAAGGGGGCAGCTGTGGGTAGCCTGAGGGGTAGGAGGGCAGAGAGGGTAGAGGCAGAATGAAGTTCTAGAAGGCAGAAGGGAAAGTCAGGCTAAAACAAAAATCAGCCTAAACTAAGCTTTCTTTTCACTCACATACCCTGGGTGAATTCAGTAAACAGTTTTGGTTGAAAGAGCTACTAAGCAGACAGTTAATAACAGAAATGAACAAGATATAATAGACTATATCCAATGGCTTCACAACCCCCCTGCTTATGGCCAAGAGTGAGAATTTCACACAGTACCATTCACTTTTTCAGCTGATCTGGGTTTTATAACTCAGCTCCACCACTTGGTAGGTCGGTGATCCTGAACAAGTTCCTGAATGCTTGGGCCTCCATTACTTCCTCAGTAAAACTGTACCAATAATACCTATTTCAAGAGGCCAGTTTTCTTTTTTTCCTTCTTTTCTCTTGACCCCACAAGGCCAACTGAGAATTGACCTTGTCAAGTTTGGTTTCAATTACATAATTACCTTAAATTATTTCCAAGTACGAAGTATAACTTCTTAATCACATGTTTAATATGTTTAAGAGATTACTTTTAAAAAGACCTAACTTTTTTTTTTTTTTTTTTGGGG